TTTTTACTGTTTCCAAATACTGAATAAACGCAACAGGATCGGAAATTATTCTGTACACTTAATATCACAAATTGAAGTATGTTTGATAGTTTGGGGGTTCTGTTTTGTTCTTCTCTAGAAGCATTAATGACTATTTGGTTATTTCTTTTGATGAGATGAGCTTTCTCTGGAATTCCACAACGAAATTTAAATCAAAAACTGGAGGTATTAGAAGAGTTTAGAATCCGAACTATCACTCCTTGGTTTCGAGAATTAATTTATGTCTGTCAATTTGAACGAGGAAGATGTACTGTTCTAACTGTTGTTGATGGTATCTGTCGGGAAAGTTGATCTGTTGAATTCGTTTTTCAGCGATATGGATTTATTCGGGATGTAATATTGTTCTTGCACGATATTACCAATTAATAATGAAAAGGTATGGCTATATATTACGCGATGAATTGGTAAGCAGTGATGAGTTATACAATAAGCAAGCAATATGATCAACGAACCAATTCCCTGTCGTTGCCTTGGACAATAATTTGATTGTCGGTTAGTTGATACGTCGTTGAGTCGAAAATATGTTACGGGAAATGTATTTAGTGAATAGAAGAATACCGTAGTTCGTTGTCCAGTGATGGTGGATATGCGAAGATGTCGTTGTTAGTGGTTTAGTCGTGGAGGGTATGCGAACAGGCTATATTGTCTGCTCGACTGTAAAAACTGAACTGTTTCGGATATATAAGGATTAGGGAGGAGTTTTGTGAATGGAGGTATGGCTGTCCTTTGTCATTTTCCGTTGTGTAAGTACAGTAGATATCATTGTCTTGGTGTAGATACTGAGATGTTTTTGTGTTATGCTGTTCACTGTCAAATTATATTCTCCTAATTGCTTTAATTTTACTTGCAAGGTTTCATCACTCTGTCTGTTAGGTACTGTAGAAATTTTATTTGAATTTCCTTTAATTTCGGTAATCCGACAATATCATTTTCATTATTAAATTATAGTATTTGGGCTTTATCACCTCTGAAATGGCAAGAAAATCATGGCGTATTTTTGACCGTTAACTCCATTTTAGCTTGCAAAAGTCGCTCGATTTATTCGATTATTTTGTGCGCTTTTGATTTAGCATAATATTAAAAGTCAAAATTAAACTGAAAAGCAAATTTCTTTGAACTGAATAAATGGTAGCGGAACTTTGTCGGCGATTATGATTTTCACTTTTTCAATATTCAAAAAGGTCCCTTCTGTCAGAAAAACCGAAATAGTTGTATCATAGGATTACTCGCTCAAATAGTCGTGAGTTAACTGTCTTCAAATCGTCTAAAAATATTTTGTCTAATGTTAAGATTTGCGTACATTTGGTAATTAATTTGTAAAGACCTTATCCCATGTCCAAATCTTAGATACAGCTATGAGAATGCTGTATATCTAGCAAAACAATTTTTAATTATGTGTAAATTTCTCTTGCATCTGTGAGAACACTGTCAATTTGTAATGATACAAAATTTCACACATTCCTTATATAAACTATAAGAAACTCTAACATCAATTCATTCAATTTTATCGGTCGGCACTCAGCTTCACACTACACATATTTTTCTTCATATTTTTCTCAGTCACTGTGTTACTACTTACAAATTTCGCCCATTGTTCTATTAGTATTATTTTGGACATCATTCTATTGTAAATGGAATCATTTTGAACCTATTTCTATTGTATTTGGTATCCGGACGATAATAAAAGATAAACTGCTTTACGTATCGAACACACAACAATACCGGTACTCTGTAAGTCATCCCTTTAAAACTTCCACAACTAACAAAAACAATATCCCTCATCTCCTTACCCTTTCCTCACGACACCTTCGATAGCATATTTTGGTCGTCATTAGTGTGAAATTCTTGGACTCCTGACTTTATTAAATTTTCAAAACTTGATTTTGAAACTTCCAGATTTAAGTTACGAGTCTGTAAGTTCAAAGAAAAGGAAATACTATCCAATTTGTTGTTGGAGGTATCATTTCATCAGTTTTTTCTTGTCAGCTTATAGGAAAATGTTAAAAATTTTAATTCAGTGTTATATCCGGTTAAAATTGCAATGTGGGACCAAATACATAAAGGGTCTTAATTGCTTTTATTATTTCGACTAGATTATGACTTCTTTTATAGATTATTACGAAAAGTAATAATTTTGCTGTGGAACAGAAAATGAATCATTCAGTAGACATTTGCATGTTATCTGCCTGAATAAGTAAGCAGTAAACATAGGTGAAAGCCGAAATATTCTCAGTATAAAAATAACTATGGTTCAACTAGTGTTGCAAGATTTTATAAATCAAATCATGTTGATACCAAGTTCACATGCGATGTCAACATACTATAAAGCACCTGTAATTAATTCCGAGATATTTCAAAAAAAAAAACAATGGGTCATCCAGGGGTCAGCCGGTTCCAACTTCTTCGATTGTTGTAAACAAAACCCCACTATATAAGGAGTTGGATTCATGGTTCATTATTCATGATTCATTATGGTTCACCATTTATTGTTCAACTATCGATGTGCGGCATTATTCATCAATATTGTTATTCAACTATTAAACTGTACCATTGGATTTGTTATCTTCGGCCAAAACTTGCAACAAATTCCAATTCTGCACCCAACTATACAAACATCTCAGCAGTGTACTTTACTCTCGATATTTGTCAACAATTATCTCGTAGCGAAAATAAAGAAGAATTCTCGATGGACCAGTAAAACTTTTGTTGGAAATGTTTATCTGTATCAAACAACATATGAAGGATTTCACATTGTCATTAAAATTTAGGTAAAAACTTTTGCAACAATATATGATCGATTTGGTTGTTCATCCAGGCAAGGAAATATATTGCATAAAGAAGACAATTGAGTGAAACAAAATACTTTGTGTATTTCAATTAATGTCAGAGTGCAACCATTTTAAGACAAATAATCCATTACAACAAATATTTTTCATTAAAAAAATGCAAGAAAACATTATGAATGAAAATCATAAAATCACAGTTCTGTTCTGGTGAATTAGCAGAGACGAGTATCTGTGATAATTGGTTTATTTGATTAACGTTATAATGTAATTATTAATGAATGTTGCAGGTAGAGTTGATCACTAGATTGTTCTTTTCCTTGTTTCCTTGTAGGAAATTTTGCTTAAGAACTTAGTAGGGATTTTACAAGGTAAGAAAATTAGCACTGTTGGACCGAATTGAAGCGCACTGTGAATGAAAGGGTTCTCAATTATCCTATATATAGTGGGAATGGTTTACAACATTACAATGATTGCATGTAAGCTTGCTTATCGGAAGAGTTAGATGAATGATTCATTACTCTGGCATTGAAACATCTGTTTTACTTTTTATTACTTTTTATGTGCAATAAATCATTTATTTAACAAATATTAAAAATTAATTATTCATTACTACAAATTTTTTATACTGTAAAATTTGGTAGTATGCATTACGCAAAAACATTTACTATGCAAAGACATTGCATGACAAATTAATATGACAAGTGATAGGATAGGAAGTGATCCATTTGACACTTTTTTTTTATTAATCAATACTAATGAAAGAATAGGATGAAATTTTGAAAGAATTTTTTTTTTTTGGTAAAGAAAGAAGAGGTATTTCATATCATATTTCATACTTTAGCATATTCTGACATTTTTTTCCAACAGAAAATTTCAGGCACAAATTAAAATTAGAATTATAAGAAGTATAATACAAAGCGGCAAGACTTAATGTTTTGTTAAATTGGAAATGATAGTAAAAAAAGGCTTTGCTAATAATTTTATTTGTATAATTAGTAACTTGTATATTCCTTTTCTTTCTATCTCCTCATTATTTCACTAAATATCTTAATGGCAACAGCAAAATAATATTCTCTTTCACATGCAATAAAATTTATTCATAAAGTTTAATATTCTT